CCCTGAGCATCATTTCTGATGCCGGCCCCTCACAAATGTGCTCCTTGATGATCTTCTCAAAGAGTTTCCCCAGGATTGAGGTAAGACTGACGGGCCTATAGTTACCCGGGTCCTCCCTCTTCCCCTTCTTGAAGATGGGGACCACATTTGCTACCTTTCATCACTGGAACAAACGATCTTGCATTTTAAACCTGAGAAAATCATTAGCACAGGCTTTGTGCCACACCTGGCTTTAACCTCGGCCTCTGGATATTGGCACTGGGGAGATGGGTGTCAGTCTTGCTGCTCTTCTCCTCTGCAGGGAGGAGACTCTCAGCACAGCAGTAGCAGCTCTGCACTTTCCTTGGGAGGTGCACAAGGATTGGATCTAATTGCCTCTGAGGTTCTGAGCGCACTGTTTTGATTCTGCAATAGAAGAAATTACAGCTCTCTTCTCTAATGAGGAAAGGAGCCTCTAGTGCAGTGCTGGCTGTTACAGGAATTGGCAGAGCGGTGCCTTGCCTCAGCACATGCAGCCCAAGAGCTGGGGCTGGGCTTTCAGCGCAGAGACATGGTCCTGAACACCACCTCTCTCCATCCCTACCCCGCATCCCTTTGCATCCAACCCAGTCAGCACATCCTAAGCAAAACCCCAGCTGCCAGTACTCGGACTAATGAAGTCCACGGCAAGGCTTGCCATTGGGCTATTGCCACCTTGGCTGGAAATGCTGCACGCTGCAGAGCCCTGAGTTTAGAGCTGCCTGGAGGATCTTGCAGCCCCAGCAGGAGCAGGTGCCAGGCCTTGAGGATGGGGGTGGAGGGTGAAGGCTTCCGTAATTTGCCCGTAATCGGTCATGGTGCGGGAGGTGCCCCCGCTGCTGTTTCTGCAGCTGCGCTCCCTGCACAGAGAGTCCTGCCTGCCAGCGCCTGTTCCAGGCAATGCTGTTATGTTCCCCGCTCGCCGCTTCACCCCACGGCTTGCAGGGGTTTCCCAGACATCAGCACTGCTGCTGCACAGGATGAGAGGGGGAAGCGTTTTCTGTTCCATTCAGGCCATTGCTCTGATGGGCTCTGAAGTGGGTATGTTGGATCAGAGCAGCTGGCGGGGGGACGCCTGTTACCTTCTTGGCATAGGGAGAGCTGGTGAGCCCTGGGGGGCAGCACACAAACAAAAGCCAACACTTGTAGGGGGTGTTAATCACTTTTTGGGGAGGGGGGTGGGACCTGGCCCAGGGAGCTGGGAGGCCTGCCAGATGCCCTCTTTAGCCAGGTCTCGAGATGAAGAGCTGGACAGGCGCTGCGTGGAGACCTTCCTTCATGTCTCACTGGACGCGATCATCTTTCCTAGTTGATGTCCGCTGGGCGGAGCGTTTTTGTTCACCTGGAGATGCAGCTGGAGGAGAGTGCTGGCAATTAACTGATGCACAGGCATTTGGGTGCAGAAGCATCTAACGGATATCTTTGCTTAACTAGGAGACGTGCCTTAAATGCTACTGCGCCATTAGAGTCATCAGCCCTGGTAGGGACTCTGTTGTACTTGGCGCACAGACATGCAGTCCAGTCCAGGCTCGCTGCTTGACAGGGCCCTCCTGGGAACGGACTAGGAATGGGGGTGCCCAGCTTACAAAACCTTGAAGGGACCTGATTTTCAGCGCCTCCTGCAGATCCGTCCCCTTGCAGCTTTTTTAAGTTGGAGACCCAAAGTCACCAGTCACTGTTGAAAGTCCTGGCTGGATCCTTTGGTCTGTGTGAGGCCGCAGGGAGGTGAGAAATAGTCTGGGCTTTAACGTGCCTGGTAGGAGGCGTATGTCTGGGTCACAGAGGGAGGCTCTGTCACCAGCTAGGCTACTTTCCCCAGGTGTTTGGTCTCCTCCCCTTGTCAGGACTGCCAGAACTGGCCTCGGTGTTGCTTTTGGGCGCCTTCAGGTTTCAGGTGTTCTGCCTCTCGGGTTTGCAGATCCTTGATCCGGTTCCCTTCAAAGCATCTTTGTGGCAGAGCGGAGTACCTTGGCTGCAGAGCCCTGGTAAATCCTTTCCTTTGCAAATGTGACGGCACCCAGGGGCGTGAGAGGTCAGCTCTTCAGGGAGCGCCCTGGTAGCAGTCCTCTTAGGCTGGGCAGGACGCGTGGTCCGTGCAGAGGGCAGAGGAGCCGCAGTCGGGTGCAGTGCAGTTTTGTCCCAGCTCCACTGCGCAGTATGGTTTCCCCACCTCTCGCAGGGGAACCGATCCACTCCCCCGGCTCTGGGAAGCGCTGCATTAATGTGAAGGGCTGTGATGGGCTGCGGCGCTGCACGCTGGGAGCAGACACCCCTGCATACATTCAGTCCCAGCTCGCGGCTCATCCAGGAGTAGACCAGGCGCAACGGTCCCAGCTGCTCCACGTGGGAGGTTTCAGCACTGGTTGCGCTGGGCTGACTCCTCCTGACGCGGACCCCTCGGGCTCCTAGCCCTGCACAGGCGCGCGTGGAGCGCCGCGTGCCGCGCTGGAGCAGCTGCACTGGCTCGTGACCAGCGTGCGTGCCTCAAAGCCACAGCGGAGGTGGAGGGTGGCCGTGGAGTTGTGCGTACGTCTCAGTTCTTGCTGCCTTCTCTCTGCCACACGCATGGCAAGTTTTTTAGCCCCTGCTCCCCTCAGGGGAGGTGTGGGCTATTAAATGAAAACTCCCCGCCCCCCCCGGCATCCCCTCTCCCTTTCCCCAGGGAGCAGCCTGGATGGGATGTGGCCTCCACTTCCCATCCCCGCTCTTCCTGCCACATCTGAAGGCCCCGTTCCCCCCCAGGTGCAGGAAGCAAAGCCCAGGGTCCAGTTCCTATTTGCTCCTCACTTGAACAGAATGAGCCAGCTCACTTTGGACCATGCAGGTTACGTTTTATTTTATTTTTTTCTCATGCCAAGAAATACAAAGGAAAGTCTGTTAGATACAGTCTCAGCGCCCTGCTGGGAAAAGAGCCTTTATCAGCAGAAAAGAGCCCCGAGCTGGAACTGCTGACGTGGCCGTGCTGCTTGCAGGGAGTGCTCTGTAAATCCCTAGCGGAGGGGGATCCTTTGCACCCGTTTTCAGGACAGGGTGAGCTGGGAGCACGATGTGCTCACAGCAGCCACGAGGAATAGGCCACAGGCTTTGCGTAAAGGATCTGAGATCTTGTCATCCCCTAAAAAGGACCGAAACAGAAGTGACCTGCTTAGCAGGGAGGGTGCGAGGTCCTGAGCTCAGACCTAATTAAAGATGGCAGGATGCCAGCCCAGCAGAGGAAGTGGATAACCCAAGCTTGGGATTCATCCCTTCCACTCATCATTTGCTAGAACCAAGCACGCACCGAGTGCTGGTTTCTTTCCTTCCCATCTGTGCTAGAAACCCTTTAGACTCGTCTCTGGGCACCTCTGCACCGAGCCGACCATGAACAGCAAGCCGGCTGCGGCAGTCAAGTCAACTTGTGTTGAAGCTCTCGGCCCTTCTCAAGCCCCTGGTTGCAGCATCCTGCTGGCACAAGAGCTGCTCTGTTCAAAGGCCCTGGATCCCTCCTTCGGGGCTATTCTTCGTTCCAGCATCTCTCCTGCTGGCAAGAGACGGCCCTCCAAGCTTGCGGCAGTCAACTCGAGCCAAAGCGAGCAGAGTCAGGGAGTTATGTCAGTCCACACACACATACTACTCTTGCATGGGCAGTTTATATCTACTGACATACAGACCTCCAGGACCTTGTGCTTCCCACTGCTACCTGACTGAATTTATACCCGCTTTTTCTACCTTTTCCTTCGCTTCAGCCTCCCACGACCTGTTCTCAACATCAGGTGGGGCCGGATTTCCTCCTCCTGCCTCTGCCCCCCTGCCCTTGCCTTCACGTGGTTTCAGACCAGGAGACCCAGAGTAGGTAGTTTCCCATCAATTAATGCATTTGAATGTTGGAGAAGTAACCGGTGGGCAGAGCTGCCCAGGCCCTGAGGCTGGCATAGCCCTTGCAGTGGGGAACGCTGATACGTGGGGCAGCAGCAAGGAGACAACACTGAGAGATGGGCACAGGGAGGGGCAAGGAAAAGTCCTTTCCCTACGTGTATTGTGATGAGGCCCTGCGTGATAACAGCGAGAGGAGCAGCACTGATTGCAAGCAGAGAAAGAGGTGATCCGATGGCAATGATCTGTTCTCAGTGGTGACGGCAAGGAGCAGTGGTTTCAAGTTGCAGCAAGGGAGGTTTAGGTTGGATATTAGGAAAAACTTTCTTGCTAGGAGGGTGGTGAAGCACTGGAACAGGCTACCCAGGGTGGTGGTGGAGTCTCCATCCTTGGCAGTTTTCAAAACCCAGCGGGACAAAGCCTTGGTGGGGATGATGTAGTTGGGGCTGGTCCTGCTTGGAGCAGGGGGCTGGACTAGATGTGACCAACCCTCGTTTTCTATGATCTATCCAGTTATATAAATGGGCACGGTTGGGGAGGGGGAGGGAGATACCAAATTCCTTCTGGGAGAATGCAGGCTCATGTGTCTAGGCCAAGCAAATCAGGATGGCAGAGCTCAGTGGAAAGCTACACCAGGGATGCTAAAATGTGGAATGACCCAGGGGAGACGCAGGCAGTGTAGTTTGCCACGGGGCACAGGGGCAAAAACATCAGGACAGGAGCATCGTGTTGTAGAGCAGGGAAGAAACTGGCAGCCTCCAGCAGCCGACCTCTACAGCACTGCCTGCTGCCCCAGCGAGCCGGAGCGTAGATAAGCTTATAGGTGGCCCAGATTGAACTGGGAAGAACTCAGGAAGGAGCGAGAAGAAACTGGAAAGATGAATATACATGGAAGACTGGATGGGGGCACGGCCAAACGGTGAGCCAGTGACACGGGGTAAGCTGCTGGCAGGTAGCATCCATTTGTCATGCACCAGAGCATGCATTTACCTTTCTGGTAAACCTCCGTAAACCTCCTCCCTGGCTCACCTTGAGGTGCACCTGCAAGCAGTTGAGAGCTGTAAACCTGAGCGAGAGAGAGGTGACATTTGGGACTGGACAGGTGCCGTGAATGAAATGAAGGCCAAGCAGAGGAACCCCGGGCTGCTGCCTTAAGATTTGTTTCCAGACCAGAGCTGTCCCTGCCTGCCGTGCTCCCCAGGGGGCTTGCACAGTGGCCTCAGGACCGCGATTGGGACTGACAGGGCAGCGTGCTCTGGACACAAGCGGGTCTAAGCACAAGCAAAGAGCTGAGGAGGGAGCTTTGAAGTGCAGAGCACTTGGAAGGAAGTCTAATGGCTGGAGCGTCTTAGAGAGAAGAGTAAATCACTAAGGAACTTATTGCCTTAATTCTTCTTTGTTATTATATTTAACAGTAAATCAAGAAGCTGTTGCCTTGGCAGTCTGATGATGCCCAGTAAGGCAGAAAGCAGAGCCCATTTGGAAGCATCCGACAAATTATCACTGCAATTGTCTTCTGAAAGCTTTTGCTTCCTCATGCATTCAGATGAGTCCTGATTTCTCTGTTCCACTCAGCTTCATCACACTGGAACCCCCTTCTCGAAAGGATCGTTAAAACGGCAGCTGCCGGGAAGCCCATTCCTGGGTGGGGATGAGAGGTGTTTCTACAGTCCCCCGTGTGCACACACATCTCCTCTGCAAAATCCCTAGAGGAACCCAGGCATTCGGCCCTGTATGTTTTCCTCAGGAGGGGAATGCTCTTCTGGTTCCTGGAAGACCTAATAACTTGCGCCATAGGTTTGTGCAGCAGGTTACAGCAGTGCTCAGCTGCCTGGTACGGGGCTGCGAGGCATACTGCGTTCGTGGTGGCGAAATGTGTCGCACGGTCAGAGCAGTGTTTCAGCACCTATTTAATAAATATCTGGCTCTCGGGCATTAGCATTTGCTAGTAAAACTATCCTTCTGTGCCAACGCCTCCCATTCCCAGAGGCTTTCTGTTCAGGTTCCCAAGTCACCCCCAAGCCATCCATCGGGTTGGCTTGGGCAGGCCGAACACGGGACAGGGAGCAGCGGGCTCGTGTCAGGAGGGAGGTAAGGCGCCTGAAACCCCTGTTCTGTGGACCTACCAGCACAGGGGAGAAACTGCTCCTGGAAGCAGGCCCCGTGTGCAGCCCTTCAGCAGCTCCTTGGTTGCCACCAGGTGAGAGAGGAGTGGCTGGACCAGCTATTTGCTTGCGTGAGGGATGTGGACATCAGACCTGGGATGTTCACCCTCCCCTCCTGCCACGGGCCAATGCTCAGTGAACAGCGGCTTGCCTATGTGCACAGAGGGACGGCTAAGCACACCTGTGCCCTGTTAAGCTGCTCCCTTCTCTGCTAAGCTCAGCACCCTGCCCTCAGTGCCAGCAGGCAGAAGGAAGCTGGGCTGCATTGCAGATGCTGTGAGATTGAACAGAGGGGAGGGAAACGTGGCTGGGGAAGTGGTGGCAATGCCACCCAGGCCAGAGAGGCAGCATTGCAGCGTGTCCAGGGGATTCAGCATTGTTGTCACCCAGATTTTGAGCCACCCACCGTGCAAAAGCAAACACGCTAATGAGGAGCGAGCCAGCCCATGGCAAGAGACCTCGACTAGAGCTGAGCAGGGAAGTGACTGCGGGGGAAGCTGGGGTGCATGTACGGCAGGCTCGCTGGTCCACACCGAGTCCCAGCGCAGACTTGGCGTGCACCAACTGGGAGGTCGCATGCCCCACCGCAAAACAGGGCTGCAGGAGGCATCACTTTGGAGACCTGACAGCACCGTCACTTTGTGCTCTGGCTTCCTGCGCAGGAACTTCCCCACGGGGATAAGCTCTGGGTGCCCGTAGCTTTGGGTCAGATCTTTCCAAGAGGCTCAGAGTTGCACCGGGGGGCACAAGGCAGAGGAAACAGACTATGCTTTGCTGCAGCCGGGGTGGCCTCTATCTGCCAGTGCAGGCCAAGCTGCCTGGCTCGACAGACAAAGACATCAGTGCTAGTTCCCCAGCCTGCGACTTAGCAGAGCGTGATGGAGAGGGGGCTCAGCCAGCGTGGAGGCCACAGGACATGGAGCCACAAACTAATCCCTTGGACAACTGTGCCAAAGGCCGGTGGCAGAAGAGGATGCAACCCCAGGGATTGACACACAGGAAGGGCAGAGCAAGGTGCAGTGGTGTGAGGCCATGCGAGGGAAGGAGGCAGAGAGGCCAGGAAGCTGCTGGGGAAAGCGCCACGTGATGCAGCATGTTGCAGATGCTCGGGAAAGGCCCTGGGGAAGGCAGTTTGCAATGTAAAACATTTAGGAACCAAACATCCATGAGGCTGACCCTGCCACACATGTGAGGGATCCAGTTCCCGTGGGCCAGGACCTGGTGCCCATATCCTCTTTGTGCCCTTGAGACCCTCCCCAGACAGTCCAGTGCAAGACCAGCCCAGTCAGTGGGCATCTTTGCATCAGCCACGGCAGCTGCTGGGTCAAGCCTTTAGCTCCTGCGGTGACGGATGTGACATCAGAGCTCAGCAGACAGATTTGGCTGCCGCAACTTCTGCAGCCTGCCATCCCCTCCGCGCCAGCTCACTGTTTGGGGCACAGATGGAAGAACCGCCCTGTTTCCAAGAGAAGACATCGCTCCTACCACGAGCACCCCCACCAGGGCTCGGCTGTGGGCAGATCTCCTGCAAGCTGGAAAATCCTTGTGGATCAGGGCCGGGCCCTCCCAGCTCTGAGCTGCTTAAATGCTGAGAGCTTGTCTGGACAGCCCTGGAGCAGGGGGGACTATGAAGCTGCATGCAAATGGTCTTTGTCTTTTTTTTTTCATCAAAAATACAAAACCCGCCAAAGCCGTGCCTTGCAGCCGCGGTCGGCCCCGGTGCCACGGCTGTGGGGAGGCGCACGCGGTGGCCCCCGGAGGCAGTGTGCTCCTTCCCCGCTCGCCAAACAGACTTCATCTCCCAGTGGCAGCTGGAGCTTTCCCAGAGAGACGACTGGTTGTTTTAAAAAAGCAAAACAAAACAGTCATTTGTGCCAAAGTTGTCAAGAGGTTTCCTCAGAGGGTCCCATTCGCCCCTTTCCACTTTGGTGGCCCTTTTCTCCCCCAGATCAACCTCCTTCTTCCCTCCTGGTCTCCACCCCTCCGTGTTCTTTACTGGGCAGGAATGAGGTAGCGGATCTCCCTCTGCTCCACTCTGCTTGGGATCGGAGACCTCTCCCAGGCCTTGTCGAGCTCTTGTATGCGCCGCTCAAGTTGTTCAGTGTGAAATCATTTTCCAAGAGGCTGAGAAATAAATGCATGCACTCCCTCGGACGATGCTCCAACAGCGACACTTCCTAGCTCCGGCCCTTGAAACGGTCGCATTTTTGCCGTGAGGTTACAAATAGAAGCCCCTGAAGGAAAGGTGCCTTCTTCGTCAGGGCGTCTGCATGCTAGTTCTTCTTGAAAACTGCAAAAGAAAGAGAGTCTTAGAGCATCCTCCACTAATTAGCGCATTTGCCCTATGTCCTTGGCCGGTTCCTTCTTTCAGCTAGCCTGAGTCTTGCGGGGTCTTTGATGGAGCTGAAGCATACTGAGCGCGTTGGCCCTGGGGTGAGCAGCTTGCCTCTGGACTCGTTGTGTCATTGATTACTACCCTCCGAGTCCAGTGCTCCAGCCTGTTTTCTGTCACTTTATAGTTCCAATCCTTACTTCCAAACATAGCGTTGGGATTTCCTTTCAGGTGCCTAGAAAGGGAGGGGACAGCTATCGTGCAGCCCCGGTGTCTAAACATAGGAGGTCCTATGTTCTCAGCCACTTTACTTGCTACTTGGCACTTATCCCTCAGTCTGCCAGCCCAGGTCCCAGCAGATCCTGGGAGACCTCACCTGCGGGGCAGTACCCTGAGCCTTTCTAGCCCTTGATGCCACAGGGGCACAGGGTGAGTTCAGGCTAGACGGGCACGTAGCACTCCTGCATGCCAGTCTGATCTCAAAGGGATTTGTTCCACACACCTACAAGCCATTCCCACGCAGACACAACAAGGCTGATCCTTCAAGGAACAGAGGAGCCTAATTCCCTTGATGCCAAGGGCACCAGCTGTCTGCATGCATTAGAGGATGCAGGGCTGGGAGCTCCCAGCATGCTGGATGCCCCTTGGTGAGCTACAGGGCAGGGCAGGTCTGGGGGCTTCCTGGGGTGCGTGCTTGGCTGGCAGGGGGCGAGAGGGGAGCGGGAGCTACCTGTAAAGTTGAGCGAGAAGTAGAGCACGATGATGATGGTTCCCAGGATGATGCAGACTGTGCTTATGAGCCTGGCCATGCGCCCCAGCCTCCAGGCCCCATCCACGTCCCCTTGCTGCCTGCTGTTCCTTGACTGGGGGAAAGGCACAGACACAAAGAGAGGAACTGGTGAGGGACTGCGGGTCTAGCTCCTCAGCCAGTTTAGGTCAGTCCTGCCCCTTAACCCGCGAGAAGGGGGACCCCCTGGTTGGCACCATAGAAGCCCCTGGTCTCTCAAGGGACGGTACGAGGCCTGTTTGCAATGGGAGACTTCGTTAGCGTTCGGAAACCAGCTGCCCTGCAATACAGGGGCTGACACTGCTGCTTTTTCCTGAGCGGCGGGGAGACCCGCTCAAGCCTATGTAGGAGTGGGTGGAAGGGGGCGGCAACTACCCGCATGAGCTCAACCAGCGCCCGGGGCCGCTGAGAACCGCAGCAGCCTGGAGTCTCCATAGCCGTGCTTGTTCCCGTGACGGCTACGTGGCTGCCAGGCCCACCTGCATCTGAAAAGTGCACAAGTTACAGCTTTTCCGCTAAGCGCTGGGTTTCAGCTCACCTTGGAGTATGCCTGAGCACTTTGGTGCCTTCCCACCCTGCGTCCACTTCCCAGGCTGGTGTCAGCCTCTGATCTGAACAAAATCCGCCTGCAGCGGTTTCTTTCCTCTCGTGCTGGCTGCAGGGAGCGAGGAACTGGCTCTGCAGCGTCTTTCCTTGGCTGCTGGTTTTGTTCTGCTTTTCCCTGCTGCTCTATTGATTTCTTAATGCAACCTGCTGGAAGCTGTGCCCTGCCTGGTAAGCAAACGTATTGGCTTCCCAGATGTGGCAGGGGTGAGCAAAGGGGAAGCGGGGGGAAGTCACTGGGAGGCACCTGGAAGTGATTCACACACGGATTCACAGAAGTTTAGGGCTGGAAGGGACCTTGTGAGATCACCGTGTCCAGCCCCACTGCTCCTGGCTGTGTGGGGTTGTTCGAGGATGAACGGAGATCACCAAGAGCCCCTTAGAGACCGAGTAGGGCCGGCCTCCTGCCAGTGTTAAGTCCACCTGCTGCATCAGCAACTGAATTGGAGTCCAAAGGCTGGAGCTCATTAGTACAAGGTGAAGCAAACTGCAGAAGCCCTTGTCTCTGGATGTAATGGCAGCCCAGGGACTCATGGCCAGAGCCCAGAGCAAGATGGGGGCAGGCCTGGGTCCTCGGGCTGAGCACTCATGCCAGGAAGCAGAGCTGCGAAAGTGCCTTTCTTGAGGCCGACCGCAGGGACCCTTTCCCCAGGAGTCAGGAAGCGATGGTTTCTGTGCCCCCGGCTGAAGAAAGCAGGGGGAAGGTCGGGCTCTGAATCACGTTGAGAAGGGACCTGTGAGCAGCGTCAGCCTGGCAGGGCCTGGGCTACACTCCCCCCTGCACGAACCAGTGGGAGGGCACGCATCCCTCGTTGCCAGCCCAGCAATGGGCTCTGAGCACCGCTGGGGACAGGCCAGCCAGGGGCCGCGAGTCTCCAGGCTCCTTCCTTCCACCCTTGCCCCTTGGCAACTCAGGACAGACGTCCTGCTGGTTTCTGTGATGGGCTCCACACTGAGACCTGACGGGGCTCCCGGGGGCCCGGTGGAGACGACCCCTGGCCAAGCGAAGAGAGGCCCTGTGTTGAAGAGCAGTGCACTGACGTGCCTTTACGGAGACCTGCCTCATCTGTGGTGCCCTACGGCTAGCAGGAGACGGCTCCCTCCACCAGGCCTCACTAGCAACTCTTTCTCCAGCTCTGCAAAACTGCCATCCAGAGAAATGCGCTGAAAACTCCCCCTGCACCCGAGGCCTCCACGCCGGGCGCAGGACTCTAGTCCCAGGCTTGTACGCAGGACAGTCAGGGGCTGCACGCGCCTCCACAGGGTGCGACTGATGAAGCCGCGAGGATCGTTTTGCCATTGCAATTGGCAGCAACCTGGCTCCCAAGTGAGAAATACTGGAGCCAAAAATTCCTGGTGAGGGAGGTGTATTAGCACAGAGCCCATTCAGCAGTGTTCTGCTGCGGTGGGGTCGCTGTGTTTAAGCTGCATGCAATGTGTCAGCATGGTTGCACGTGTGATGGAGGAGCAG